ATTCGGGATCAAACCCCCCCAAAATCGGGGTCCCCCCTCCCCCAATTGGGGGTTTCACCCCAAAATCGAGCTCCAAACCCCCCAAATTTGGGATCAAACACCCCCAAAATCGAGATTTTCCCCCCAAAATTGGCCTCCCCGCTCCCCAAAATTTGGTTTCCCCTGAAAAACCGAACTTCACACCCCCCAAATTTTAGACCCAGCCCCCCAAATCGGGGTCCCCCCTCCCCAAATGGGGGTCCCCCCTCACCGGGGTTCATGAGGCGCCCGAGGCTCCCCGGCAGCTCCCCCCCCTCGGGGGTGACGTTCTCCAGGACCACCGAGTCCCCCCGCTGCACCCCGAAATTGGGGAGACCCCCGTGAGGGGGAGACCCCGAAATTGGGGAGCCCCCGGGGCTGCTCTGGGGGGGAAAGAGCCCCCGGGGGCAAGTTTTGGGGGTCTTGGGGGGGATTTTTGGGGTCCCGGGGGTGATTTTTGGGGTCCTGGGTGTGATTTTCTAGGTTCCCAGGGGTGGATTTTGGGGGTCCCAGGAAGATTTTAGGGTCCCCAGGTATGATTTTGGGTGTTCCAGGTGTACTTTTGGGGGTCCCAGCTGTAATTTTGGGCTCCCCTGGTGTACTTTTGGGGGTCCCAGAATGATTTTTTGGGGGTCCCAGCTATAATTTGGGGTTCCAGGATGATTTTTGGGGCCCCCAGGACATTTTTGGGTCCCAGGACATTTCTGGGGTTCCCAGCTGTATTTTGGGGTTCCCAGGATTATTTTTTGGGGTTCCCAGGTTGAGTTTTTCGGGGTCCCAGCTGTATTTTGGGGGTCCCAGGACATTTTTGGAGTCCCTATGACATTTTGGGCTCCCAGGACATTTTTGGGGTTCCCAGGACATTTTGGGGTCCCAGGACATTTTGGGCTCCCAGGACATTTTTGGGGTCCCCGTGACATTTTTGGGGTTCCCAGGATGAGTTTTTTGGGGTCCCAGCTGTATTTTGGGGTTCCCAGGATGATTTTTGGGGTCCCCGGACATTTTGGGTTCCCAGAACATTTTTGGGGTCCCCAGGACATTTTGGGTTCCCAGGATGATTTTGTGGGGTTCCCAGGATGATTTTTTGGGGGTCCCAGGATGATTTTTTGGGGGTCCCCAGAACATTTTTAGGCTCCCAGGACATTTTGGGCTCCCAGGACATTTTGGGGTCCCCATGACATTTGGGCTCCCAGGACATTTTGGGGTCCCAGGACATTTTTGGGGTCCCCGGACATGTTGGGGTCCCCAGGACATTTTTGGGGTCCCCGGACATGTTGGGGTACCTGCAGGTGCATCAGGACGTGCTGCGCCCCCCACTCGGCCATGGCCTGGCCCAGGGGCTCGGGCTGACTTTGGGGGTCCCCCTCGGGGTCCCCCCAGAGCTGCAGCCCCACCTTGAGCACCATCAGCGCCTGGGCCAGCGCCTGCTGGGGGGGGGTCCCCGCGAACCGGGGGCGCCCCAGCTCCATGGGAGCCCCCCGGGCCCAGCCCCACACGGCCTCCGCCCAGCGCCGCGCCCAGGCCTGCCAGAAATGGGTCAGGGGGCTGCGGTTTGGGGGGCTTAGGGGGGGTCCCCAAAGCCCCCCCGGGTCCTGCCCCGCGCCCCCTCCCCACACGGACCTGGCGGCCCTGCAGCCACACGAATTTGGTGTCGTCGTAGACGGAACCGTCGCGGCTCAGGCAGGAGAAGAAACCCCTGGGGGGAAATTTGGGGAGGGGGTTTGGGGGTCCCGGGAGCATTTTGGGGGTCCTGGGCCTCGTGTACGGGGGGCACTTCGGGGTCCTGGGTGTCCCTTGTGGGAATTTGGGGGGAGGGGGTCTTGAGCTCATTTTTGGGATTCAGTTTGGGGGAATTTGGGGGAGAATTGGGGGTCCCAAAGCTCGGAGTCCCCCGTGGGACTGTGGGGGGCACTCGGGGGTCCCTGACCTGGGGGTCACCCTTGGGCATGGGTGGGACACTGGGGCAGACCGTGTGGTGTTTTTGGGGGTCCAACGGGGGTTTTGGGGGGTCCTGGGGGTGCTTTTTGGGTTCTTGGGGGTCCCAGGGTGTTTGTGGGGGTCCGGGGCCGTTTCAGGGGTCCTGGGACAGTTTGGTTTCGGGGGTCCTGGGGCTGATTTCGGGGGTCCCGGGCAGTTTGGGGGTCCCGGGCAGTTTTTGGGGGTCCCGGGCAGTTCGGGGATCCCGGGCAGTTCGGGGGTCCCGGGGCTGTTTTTGGGGGTCCCGGGCAGTTCGGGGGTCCCGGGCAGTTCGGGGGTCCCGGCCCTCACCCGTGCTCGGGGTCGTGCGAGTGCCGCTCCCAGAACGCGACCACCGCGTCCAGCTCGGCCGCGATGCGGCCCCGCCACGCCCGGAGCTGCTCCATGGCTGGGGAGGGGGCGCCCGTGGGACCCCCGACCCACAAATACTGACCCACCCCTGGGACCCCCGACCCACAAATTACCCCCCACAGCCACCCGTGGGACCCCAGACCCACAAATACTGACCCATCTGTGGGACCCCCGACCCACAAATACCCCCCACACCCCCCCCCCCCCCCCCCCCCCCCCCCGGGGGGGGGGAAAAAAAAAAGAAAAAGGGGTGTGAAAATCCCCTCTTTTTTTTCCCTGTCCACACACCCTACCTGCACACCAAACCCTTCCTGCACACACCAAACCCTGTCCACACGCCCTACCTGCACACCAAACCCTTCCTGCACGCCCCAAACCCTTCCTGCACACCCCAAACCCTTTCTGCACACCCCAGATCTGTCCAGGACCTCCAAAACCACCCCCAAACACCCCCTGGACCCCTCCAGGACCCCCAAAAGAGCCCCCAGCCCACAAATTCCCTCCAAACCAGACCCACAGACTCTCCCCACACCTCCCAAAAGAGCCCCCAGACCCCCAAAACACACCCCAGACCCCTCCAGGACCTCCAAAAAATGCCCCCAGCCCCCCAAACCAGCCCCCCAGCTCCCTCGCGGACCCCCACTCACAGGTCGGGGGACGCCAGGGGCCGTTTGCTGCCCGGTTTCCCGGCGGCTCCGTCCTTGCTCGACTCTGGGGGGGTTTGGGGGGGACATCAGAGGGTGGGGGGGACCCCCAGGTGTCTGCAGCCCACCCCCCAGAGGTGTGGGCAGACCCCAGACTCATTTCAGAGCCCCCAGACTCATTTCAGAGCCCCCAGACCCACCTGGCAGCCCCCAGACCCACCCTGCAGCCACCGCACCTGGGTGGCCAGGCTGTAACCATTGTCACTGTGGGTGGGTGACAGGGGGACAATCCCAGACCCACAGGGACCCCCAGGGCTCTGCAGCCCCCAGACCCATTTCAGACCCACCTTGCAGCCCCCACACGTGGGTGTTGGGGCCGTAGCCCTCATGGTCAGAGACCCTCACACCACACCTGGCACTGTCCATACTCACTCCCACCGGGACCCCCAGTGCTCTGCAGCCCCCAGACTCACCTCAGAGCCCCCAGACCCACCTTGCAGCCACCGCACCTGGGTGGCGGGGCCATAGCCCTTGGCAGGGTGGGTGACAGGGGGACAATCCCAGCCCCACAGGGACCCCCAGGGCTCTGCAGCCCCCAGACTCACCTCAGAGCCCCCAGACCCACCTTGCAGCCACCGCACCTGGGTGGCGGGGCCGTAGCCCTTGTCGTTGCGGGCGGCGATGCGGAAGATGATGGCCGGCTTGGTGGTGTGGTCGATGTGGGCGCTGGCCAGGCTGGAGGCCGGCACCAGGCACGAGGGGCTGGGCCCGCAGTAGACCCTCATGAAGGCCAGCTGGGCCCCCCCCCCGCGGGCCTCGGGGCCCCCCCCGGGCCCCCCCTGGATGGCCAGGAGGGGGCTATGGGAGGTGGGGGACATGGGGGGACACAGGAGGGTCCCTGTTATGGGTCTGGGGTCCCCACAATGGGTCTGATGATGCAGGGCACCCCCGGGAAGCCGGGCAGGGATGGAGCTGGGTTGGATCAGGTTGGGTTGGGATTGATGTTATGGGCTGCCCCATGGGTTGGGGTCCCTGCCGTGGGTCTGGGGTCTCTGCCAGGGGTCAGACCATGGGTCTGGGGTCTCTGTGCTGATCCTGATGGCGCAGGGCGCCCCTGGGAAGCCGGGCAGGGATGGGGCTGGGGGGTTGGATTGGGGCTGAAGTCATGGGCTCCTCCATGGGTTGGGGTCCCTGCTATGGGTCTGGGGTCCCTGCCGTGGGTCTGGGGTTCCTGCTATGGGTCTGGGGTCCCTGCCAGGGGTCAGACCATGGGTCTGGGGTCCCCCTGCTGATCCTGATGGCTCAGGGCACCCCCAGGAAGCCGGGCAGAGATGGGGTCAGGTTGGGGTGGGGTTGATGTCATGGGCTCCTCCATGGGTTGGGGTCCCTGTTACGGGTCTGGGGTCCCTGTTACGGGTCTGGGGTCCCTGCCGTGGGTCTGGGGTCCCTGTTATGGGTCTGGGGTCCCTGCCAGGGGTCTCTGTGCTGATCCTGATGGCCCCTGGGAAGCCGGGCAGAGATGGGGTCAGGTTGGGTTGGGTTTGGGTCGATGTTATGGGCTCCCCCGTGGGTTGGGGTCCCTGTTACGGGTCTGGGGTCCCTGCTGTGGGTCTGGGGTCTCTGCCAGGGGTCTCTGTGCTGATCCTGATGGCACAGGGTGCCCCCGTGAAGCCGGGCAGAGATGGGGTCAGGTTGGGTTGGGTTTGGGTCGATGTTATGGGCTCCCCCGTGGGTTGGGGTCCCTGTTACGGGTCTGGGGTCCCTGCCGTGGGTCTGGGGTCTCTGCCAGGGGTCACCTTGCTGATCTTGATGGCGCAGGGCGCCCCCGGGAAGCCGGGCAGGCAGGTTTTGAAGGCTGACAGCTCCGAGAAGGGCCCGCGGCCGCAGGCGTTGAGCCCGGCCACGCGGAACTTGTACGCCGTGCCCGGCTGCAGCTCCTGGCGGCGCAGCTGGGAGTGGTCCGGGACCCCCGAGGCATCGTCCTGCGGGACACCGGGGGACACCGTGGGGACACGGACACAGGAACCCGCCCAGAGCCGGGGACACGGACACAGGAACCCCCCAGAGCCGGGGACACGGTGACAGAGAAACCCCCCCAGAGATTGGGGACACGGACACAGGAACCCCCCCAGAGATTGGGGACACTGACAGAGAAACCCCCCCAGAGATTGGGGACACGGACACAGGAACCCCCCCAGAGATTGGGGACACTGACAGAGAAACCCCCCCAGAGATTGGGGACACGGACACAGGAACCCCCCCAGAGCCGGGGACACGGACACAGGAACCTCCCCAGAGCCGGGGACAGGGACACAGGAACCCCCCCAGAGCCAGGGACACGGACACAGGAACCCCCCCAGACATTGGGGACAGGGACACAGAAACCCCCCAGAGCCGGGGACACGGACACAGGAACCCCCCCAGACATTGGGGACACGGACACAGGAACCCCCCAGAGCCGGGGACACGGACACAGGAACCCCCCAGACATTGGGGACACGGACACAGGAACCCCCCCAGAGCCGGGGACACGGACACAGGAACCCCCCAGACATTGGGGACACGGACACAGGAACCCCCCCAGAGCCGGGGACACGGACACAGGAACCCCCCAGACATTGGGGACACGGACACAGGAACCCCCCCAGAGCTGGGGACACGGACACAGGAACCCCCCAGACATTGGGGACACGGACACAGGCC